CCAAATCTGGCCTTGCTAAAGACCCAGATGCCAGCTGTGTCCCCTTCATCAACACAGACAACATCATCACTGAACCAAACAACACAGATTATAACATCTGGGGTTCATTCACCTGCTCCTCTACCAATGCTGTGTACGCCACCACCTATTTAGAGTGCCCCTCTGCTGTCTACATTGGCCAGATGGGGCAATCCCTATATGAATGAATGAACACAAATTAGACATCAATTCCAGAAAGACACAAGTGCCCATGGCAGAAGACTTTAACTTCTCTGGACATTTCACCACTGACCCCCCGAGTATCTGTCTGTGAAAGCTGACTTGAATGCAAAATTGTGGGAAAAGAAATCATCCACGGACTGGATTGTGTTAAACAGGCTCAAGAAAGAATATAAATTCTTATCCCATTACCTGAACAACCTGTTAATTCCAGCTGTTAACTCCAGTGTCCCTCCAGATGTTAACGGCCTTATCTATCCTAGTTGATCTAATTTACCACTTTCTGGCTCTTAGTGCCCCTCCCCCTGTCCCTTTCCTCTATTTAAAACCATTTCTTTGTGAAATCTATTCATAGCAGCTGAGGAAGTAGGCTGTTGCCTATGAAAGCTCATATCTCTGACTCCACCCTTCCCTACTTCCTACCTTAATGGAAGGACTAATTTAAGTTACAGGCATATTTGCAGGTCTGGTTTGATTAAATTCCAACTAGGAGTTGCAATGTTTGATGCAAGAAATGGAGTAAGGGGATTCAACAAGTGTTTGCAGTTTAGAGCCTGGGTAATAGATTCTGAGCCTTCTTCGGAGAAACTCATTCAGGGCTACTTTCATGCCAGCAGTTCTTAAAGACAAGTACCAAAAGGCTGTGGTGACAGCTGGAAGTTCTCAGCAAAGCCCCTACAGCCCATGGCTACATCTGGGAGCTTTCACTGTCCAAAATAATAAGGCAAAGAAACCGACACAGACTGTTCGGTGCTCTGAAGTCTCTCATATTATAATCCTTCAAAGGAGAAGCTGAGGGGTTGTTTTTTTTTTTCCCCGCCTCTGGTTGAAAGAGACAGTTACAGATTTACAGCTAGGAACTGTATTTCTTTCATTCTCTTTCATTCCTTCCATTCATTACTTCAAGCCATCCGATTGCACCGCTGGTGAAAGTTCCCAAATTTAAAGCGGGCTGATGTGAGCATTGAAGGATCATGCCGCGGTTTAGTCCGCAAAAGACAGCATTGTAGAAGTGAGCTGTTATAACATTTATCATCCATAGAAATGTTTGGGCAGTTTTTATATTCCAAGGGAAACAGTTTATTTTTCCAATAAAAAAAGAGGAACATGTTTTGATGGCAGAGCATGACCCTCTGAAGAAGACCTGGGTTCTTTTTCCAGGTTTTTTCCTTTACCTTTGACAAATCACTATCTCTCTGTTCCTTGGTTTACCCACCTACAACATGAAGCTATTGATCTTGCATAAGTGTGACATCTTTAGATGAAAACATGCTCTATTAGGCCCTCAGAATTATTGCTGCTTAAGAAATACCATTCCCCAAAATTGCGGCATGGTGTGCCCATGCATTACAACCAAGTAAAACTGATTAGAAACTCATCAGTCCAGTTTCATCAGTCAACGTGAATGACAGTCAAAAAATATAAACACAATCAAGTTTAGCATCCACATTTTTTCTCACCTCTTGTCTAGCATTTTATACCAATAATAGAATGAGTTATTTTGCATAGATGTATACTTTTTTGCAAATGCGTGCATTGTATAATAGACCAAAATGCAGATTTTCAAATGACTGGAAAGGAATACAGTGGTGAACTATGGGAGACATAGACTGACTAGGAGGAGAAGAATGGGATATTGAGACACCAGAACTGTGATGCCCTGGGGGTAGGGTGACAGCATTTCCAAACTGATATGTCTCAGCCTTTGATTTTTCATTCAAATGAGAACAACTTTCATGGGAAACCAGCCACACTTGCCCATCAGCCATTCTGGACACGCATACTTGTGCTGGCACTCAAAGCCAAATTAACGCATAGGCAAACTAGGCACACGCCTAGGGCCCTAAGTGAAGAAGGGACCCAGTTGTGCTTATTTTACACATTATAAGTATTGAGTGAAAATGGTAATATAAATATACAATATTAAGTAGGGGCCCATGAGTTTGTTTGCCTAGGGCACACTAAAGGGTTAATCCAGCCATGCTTGCACTGCCCAATATGCTGCCACTGGTGGGGTGTGCCCTGTGAGCAGAGGAGCTTGCCCTAATGTTTTATGCCAGCTCTATTTATTTTATGGAAGGATGATTTAACCTGTTAGCCCAGCACTAAAACATTAAATTCCTGAAATCCCTAAAAACTGAAGAAAAGCAAGCTGAGCTTCTTGCCAATGCTTGGAAGGCCAAGTTCCTCCAGGTGAGTGATGAAGTTGCTGTTGCAGGGAAAGTTCTCAGACTGTTTCAATGTTGGGAGTATCAATGACTGGAAAGTTTTCCCAAGCACATGCTGATCTGGATGAAACGTGGCCTTGTTCCTATCAGCACCGAACATTCCCATTTTGCCTTTCAAAAGCACACATCATTTTAATAGAAAATGCAATTAAAAAGTTGACGTTGGAATTAAATGCTTTGATTTTTTTTTTAAACTGAGTCTTGTCCTTTTTGAACATTTTGGGAATGTTATTAACTGCAAATTGAAATGGGAACTTTAAGAAAAAGGTTCTGTTTTTTCCCCAGTTCAAAATAAAAACAGGTTTCCTAATGTCCGAGCTTCCCACCAAAAAAACAACTGCCACCTGCAACCAGTTCTAATCAGGAGCAGAGTACTATTCCTGTTCTTGAAAGGCCAGCACCTGATCTGCAGATAATACAGACAGGACACCTGGCTTGTGCAGATCTTAAGGCTGTTAAAAGGATGAAGTGGATGAATCCCACAGGGTTAATTTAGGAGCATAGATGCTGTTTATCTCAAAGGGGGAAAAAACAGCAGTTTGCTGACATTTGAGGTCTATTAATATCTGCCAGAACTCAGGAAATGCTGTCGTGCAGGGCAGGAATAGAGTTGCTTGGGCTTTCTAAGGCCCATACAATAGACCAAAAATACTCGAAAGGAGCCATTCTGGAGCCTTCTGTGTCCGCCATGCCTTGCCATGGTGTTCCCAAGCACACAGGCCAGATCTGCCTTGCTTTCTGGGACAAGAAGTTTTATCCGGTTATTCTCTAGTAGGATACTTTCCTCCCCGCCCGTCCACCCTGCAGAGGGATTTCCTGCCTTTAGAAAGTAGGAAACCAACTCCAGGAGCTGCTAATACAAGAGATTAGCAACAGAAGGATGCTTTTGGAGCTGGTAGGTGTTCAGCAGTTAAGCTGGGCAATGTCGGAGCTGATCTTGGGGGAGTTTATGGGAAATCAAAGCTACAGAGGCTACAAGCACAGTGTCTGCTAGCTGTCTGTGGAAGTGTCTCCGATGACTGCTCTCATACATGTACCGTAGTGTCCTATGTAAGCTCGTTTCCAATCAGGGGGAAAGGGGCCTGGTTCTTTCTTTTCCCCTTTCTTTCTTTGCCTCTTGTTCAGGGAATTACGGGTGGATAGAAAACACAACCTAGTGCATTCATTTGCACCAGTGCAAACCAGGCCTGGAACCTGACGCTTGCTCTGCCCACAGTGAAACCCAGAGAATCAAGTTCTCTTCCCCGAAGAGCTCACCCTGCCAGGGTCTGGATCCAGGATGCAGCGTCAATTCAACAGTAGTTCTGGGCAAAGAGCACTGGCAGGATCAGACCTGCTAGGGAGGAAGACTCCTTCTGTCATAGGGAAGTGAGAAGCGGCAGAACCATGATGGGAGGAAATGTTGGTACAAAAAGAGAAGGGAAGAGGTGGAAAAAGAATTCATTTTCTGTCTAGCAACTTCAAACCTGACAGCAGAGGCCTGCTTTCCTGTAGGCTCGGAGTATGCAGCTGTCAATGAATGCAATTCTTTAGATGACACCTTCATTACCATCCCTGCTTGCAAGTACTTTGGGCCCCAGATGGCAATCTCTCACTTCCCTTTGTTAAGCTGCCTACTGTGTTTGCATCTTATTACTGGATGCATAGGGGAAGTGAAAGCCCAGGCTTTCCATCCAGGAAGGAGATCTGTCTGTCAGCACGTGTCTGTCAGCTGTTCCGTCTGGCTGAATAAATCATTACATGTTAGCTGCCTGCTTTCACCTCCCTGGATGCCTTCTGGTGCATCAGGCAAGAGGCTCCCTGTTGCTTTTAGAAAAGGTGATCTGACAGCAGAGACGCTGTATCAGTTGGGCCTATTAGTAAATATTGTTTATTCAGAGCCTCCAAAGAGGATCTAGAAAGCAATTTTGACAACCTGAGCACCTGCCATCACAGGAGTGCAGCCACTTCTGGGGTGGGAAGCTGTAGCTGATTAAGCTGGGATTCTCCAAAAGACCTAAGTTAGGTACCAGAGCTAAATCCACACAGGAATTAAATAGCCATTGGGTTAAAAAGAGCAAAAAATTTACTCTGCAGCCTGTGGATGCACCTGGGATGTAGGCAACCTCAGTGCAAGTCTTTGCTGCACTTCTGGCCCAGTGGGTATTTCAGAAGACCCCCTGCTATGTGCTTTCCTATGGAAGCAAATGAAAGCCTTGCCAGGGGCTGGTCGGTGAACGATCTTGGATCCAGCGAGGTTCTTTGATGTTCCTGAAGATCTTTTATCAAGAGACAGAAGTTTTCTTCCCTTCAGTGATGTTTGTGAACGAACTCGTCCAATCCTGCTTCTCCCTGCTGCAAAGTAGCAATGAATAAAAACAGCTGGAACCTGCAAGTATTGCTCGGAGCAGGCATGCCTTTGCCATCCATAATCAGTGTTAAAACACGGCTGGCATCAAAGCAAGAAGAGAGATTGCCATGTCTCCTCCCTGAGTGCCTCAGTGCATGTGCTTATAACCTGAGATGCCAGACTGGTTCAAGACAGGAGCTCACCAAACCAGATAGCCTGGCTTACCTGGCCAGCTTCTGGCTCTGTGAGCACATCTAGGAGCAATCTCTGCCAGCATCTTGGCTTTTAAGACCACAGGCCAGCTGAGTCTGTGCCTACTTAATGGGCTGGGAACTGCCGGTCTTCTCAGCAGGCATTGGCATGGTGTCACCTGTCAAAGCAACCATAAAAACTCTGTGGTGTCTGCTAAGGACCTAGTGATCCATGCCTTATTTACTGGCGTGTGATTTCAAAGTGAGGACCCTGTCCCACTACCATAATAAATATTAGGGAATCCACTACCACAGGAATGTGTGCGGTATTGAATCCTCCACAGAACAGAAGAATCCATCTTCTGAGAAAGCAACAGCATCTGGTGCATCCTCACTGGCTGATTCTGGGACCCTGAGCAAGTCGTGTCCTCTCTGTGTGAGGTCCTCATCAGTGAAATCTGGACCCTGGCATTCAGGCTCAGGAAAATGCTTTGAAAAGTAAAATGCCTTTGTTTTTAAGTGATATTTATGTCATTGAACATGGAAAGATCTTGCTGTGCTAAAGATGCTCTTGAATATTTTATGCAAGGATGTGCGAGCCTCGCATCATCCAAGTGTAATTCCTGCCCCACCGCTGATAGGTGGCCCCCCAGTAAGGTCACCACGACTACACACCCACTGGAGAAGTGCTCAAACTGTTAATGAGCCAAGCAAACATTCAATTACTTGGAAATCCTATTTGTATTTATTTATTTTTCCAGAAACTGCCTCTTCACCATTACTTCTGTATGGGACCTTATGCCCTTTATAAACCCAGCTGCAAACTGAATTCATTTCAGAATGCTAGCTCCCATCCTAGCGACAGAAATAACAATGAATTAACATAGAGCACCAAATCGAGGGCTAGGGCAACTGCCCCTGTCACTTTGCAAGGCTGCAGGGGCAAAACTGGGAAAATCACTTAGCTTAGCCTGCTAGAGGTATCAGCCTGGTATGTTGGTGCTAGATAGCAGGGGCTGTAAAAGCATTATGGGGCTTGATTCTGAGTTCTTCTGCCCTTCCTTTGTGCCTGTAGGAAGTGAGTGTAAAGCACTACAATTTTGATCTGGCAGTCTTTTCTATACATGCACAGGTAGTATGAAGGATGACCTATAGTATAGGCTAATGGTGAATACCTGATTGATCTCAGTGGGGACAGAATTGCCCACCAGTGTTAAAGGGGTTCAAAGGCCTCCTCTTTCAGTGCTTGACCAAACAGCCACAAAATAGGAAGTGCCAGCCTGGATCAGACATGGGGTTCATCTAGTCCAGTACCCTGCTTTTGACAGACACCAGTTTGAGCTGCATTAGAAGAAAGCTTCAGTAAACCTTGCAATAAGCAACTATGAACTAACCTGTTCACAGGGAAAATTGCTTCCTGACCCAGTTAGTAACTTAACTGCTTATGCCTGGACCCAGGATAGTTCATTCTTTTCCAAACCTTGTTAGTCTTTAACCCTTGCTATTGCAGCACTACACATTTTTGTTATCCAGGGAAATATATCTACTTTGTTTGAAGTCCTGCTAAACTCTGGGTCCTTGGGCTCCTCTGTGGCAGTGAGTTCAACAGCACATTGTGTATGACTATATTTCTTCACATTTGAAGGTGTCACTGGGCATCCCCTGTCTTTCCGTTACAAAAGCAGTTGTGGAAAGCAACACCCAATGCACCTTCTCTAAGCCATTCTTTATTTTCAATACCTCCACTGTGTGCCTTAGCCTCCTCTATAAGACAGAGTCCTAAACTACCTAAGTCTCCTTCCTACAGAAGGTTTGCCAGGTCCTGACTGTTAGGCCTTCCACTCAGGCTGGCACAGATATTCAGTGGTTTCTCATTAGCAGTGAAGAGCTTTGTCCAGTGTCTGAACTTTGCACTTCTGCAATATGCCTCTTTTCTTGAGAGAGGGGGACCACTTTCCAATGGACCTCGAGGCTTTTGACTTTCCTGGGGACTAAGTCAATTAAAGTCCCTTTGAAAATTGTACCTAAGTCACTGTATTTCAGGTGAGAGATGTTGGTTCTTGTTGGGATAGCAGCTAGGAGCTTCAGTCCTCTACCAGTAGCTTATCATGACAGGTGCTATACAAACACAGAACAAAAAGACATGGCACTAGGATGTTTTCAGAGTCATTCTGCATCCTATTCCTCCTATGGCCTTGCTTTGGTTAAAACCATGTTGCTTTCTCCTCTCTGAGAGGATCCAGAGCCTCAAAGGTAGACCTGGTCTTGGCATGGAACAGTCACATCACTGCTGATGGGAAAATCCCCAAGGAACTGGGGCAAGGATTAATTAGAGCCTGTTTCAAGGCTGAAGCTCAAACACCAGCACCGAACAACTGCAAGCAGTTATTCACTCAGCTTTTAACAGCAGCTGTCCAGGGGCTGCTGCCAAGCCTGTGGGTAGTCAACCCGCCAGCATAGTGGAGTTATTATCACTGTTGCATGTTTGTCCAGAGGAAAGTTGGAAACTACATGGGTGGCCCCAACAAATTGAAATGTCTTTATGCAGTGTACAGGGAGCACAACACATGGTGCTCACAGTCCTAGGGGGACTAAGCCCAGCTACTGTGGCTGGATTGTTTCAAAGCAGTGGATAACTATGAAAGCTGATGTGATGATACGGATAAAAAGATGTTGTGACTTTGAGCTTAATGCAGAGTTGTAGTAAAGACAGACACTGTGCCTGCCCCCCCTCCCCACCCCTCACATCTGGATCGGGGGGGCAGGGACTTGTCCTCTGCTGAAATGGCAGGCAGTGCTGCCAGAAGTCGAATGATACCATGATGTTCTCAACCAAAATGACAGTTCCTTCAGACGCAGCCCTTGGGCTCTGTGTTCTCCAAGAGACTGGCAGTAGCCCCATCCCAATTTCTAGCGCTCAAACTGTGGTAGACTCTGAAGTCAGACAAGTGGAAGTCTTGGTAAGAGACCATTGGGATATGTGTGACTGTCTTCATTGAAACCAGGCTAAATTTGCTACAGGCTAAACTTGTAATTTATCTGTGATTGCTTAGGAAGTGAAAGAGACATGGGCTCGGGCCTGGCATTCAAATCCTGTAGTCCTAGGTTGCATCCCATCACCCATACTTCATCTGTAAAGGCAAGAATGTTTTTGGGTTGCCCTTGCTCGGCAGACGGATGAAGAGAAGCTGTTGCTGTAGCCCACTGGAACACCAGCATTACCATCTCGTAGCCTGCAAAGCAAGCACCTAGCATGCTGCTGGGGCTAGATACAAAGGTGCAGACAGAAGTTACATTTGTTGCAGGATCAGCCTGTTGAAGGCACTCTACAGCCATGCCCTGACAGAAGTGCACAGCTGCAGAGCGCTTTAAAAGTGCACAACCACACGACAATCTGAATCGTCATTCAAACATGAAGGTTCAGGTAAAGGCACTACAAAGTGGAGTGCCTTCATTAATGTCTGTCAGAGAGTGCCTAATGGAGCTGTCGCACTTTTCATGGGGAGCTTGTGACCACTTCATGCATCCCTGGAAGTCCAGCCTATTTCACCTTGTTTGGGGACACAGTGCTTCCATGCACTTCAGTGGGCAGCACTTTGACACCTCCAAGGCTCGATCCTTAGCTACGCAGGAGGTGCACAGCTCTCCATCCATTCCAAAGCCAGTTCTAACTTGTGCTAAGGCTCCCCTGATGCTCCGAATATTACTTTCCTCCGACTGCATAAGGCACGTGTGCCTTAGCAGAGCTTTTTGTGTCCTGGCAGGTAGATATCTGTATGGGCAGCATAAGAATCCTGAGTCAGATCCTCTTCTCCCGCTTCAAACACTTGGCCAGGACAAATGAGACCTGCAGTCCAGGCCGGCCTCAGCCTCAAGAGATTTGTACCCGTACCCCTAAGTCCCAGCAGAGTGCCCTAACCTACATACAGTGGAGTGGATGTGACTGAAAGTGCCTCCCACACCCTTCTTTTGAACCTGAAAACAATTGGGTCCCCAATCCTGAATGTGCCTACTCCACTCTCGTGGTAAGCTGGGTGTGTGGTGAGAGGGGTCAGGGAAAAGATTTGAGAATGGAGAGGATCTACCAGTGTCCCTCAAAGGGGTGTGGGCTGGTGATGGAGGGCTCAGGAGTATCTAGTATTGTACACGGAAGGGCTTTCTTTTCTGAAGGAAGTCAGAGACCTTGAGGTTTGTTCTTACCAATCTACAAGCTTTTTTTCCTCTCTCCAAAAACATGCACACACTCCTTCCTGGTAGGGATGCTGGGTCATGTCTTCCAAGAGGCCTCTCCCATATGAAGTAGTACTGTAATGAGTATTGTCACTCAAGGGCTTTCTCAATAGCTCAGTCAGGACAGCTATTCTAGCACCACAGGGAGGGCGCTTCAAGCAGGTGGGCACCATGGGAAGAACCCACTCTCTGTCCCGAGTGCTGTGCATGCAGTTTCCCCAGTGACTCTGTGATGTAAACTGCAGCCAACGATAAGCACAAGGGCTCACTCCCCTGTGCTAGGGCAGCATCAGCTATTTCCCCCACCACTATCTATTGTCTCCCATGGCCTCTGATCCTCACTGCCATGCATTTGCATTTTGGCAGACCTGTATTTTGCATCTTGGCTTTTATTCCGTCCAGGAGGACACAAAAAAACCAGCAGGCTCTCCCTATGCCTGAAGAAGGGTGTTTGTGCTGAAAGCTTGCAAAGAACAATTTTTCCAACGATTTAGTTGGTCGAATAAAAGATATCACATTTACCCAAAGACCCTTGGCTGAGCTGATGCTAAACAGCAGCTACGTTCTGCCCCAGAAGTGGCAGCATTTCAGCAAAGGGCGAAGTGCTTCTAAAATGTGTAAGCAATGCAAAACCCTAGAACTCTTGGTTCAGAAATGACACCTTTTATCCAGCTAAGACAATTGCAAAAAAAAGATCTTTTTTCTGCCAGCTTTCAGGCACACACCCCCTTGTTCAGGTTCAGGGAAAACGAAAGATGGTACAACCCCTGCTTAGCTCTCTTAATCTGCTCCTGAAAAGCCAAGCACGAAGCAAAACGAGCATTAAGCAAACCCGAAAGTATTCAACAACCCAAGATGGCGACCGCAATTGTTTTTAATGACCCAAGATGACGCGTGCGAGTGTTATAATGAAACTCACAGAGCGCTAAGTGAAATCAGGTTTCAATTTCAAGTGAGCGTTATAGCGAAATAGCGCGAAGTGGAACAGTTAAGCGGGGGGTACCAGTAAGTAAAATTTTCTGAGCCTGAGGAAGGGCATGTGTGCCTGAAAGTGTGTGTGTGTGTGTATATATACACACACACACACTCTCACACACAAAATGCTATCAATAAATGTATCATTAAGCAGGCCTCTTTTACACGGCGCTTGATAGAGCCAGTGGCCAGACCCAGGTGTTATGCTCTCCCGTCCGTGACAAGATGAACGAAGAAGTCTGATGTGCTGAGTGCAGAACATAATTGGGTTGCATTTGGCTAGGACGTGTAGAGGGGAGCTGCTGCTGGCTTTGCAAGGTGTCTGAGGAGTTGCTATGGAGACCATTAATTAAACACCGCCTCTTCCCGATCATATCTAGCTGAGGCAAACTGGAGACCAAGTGCTACAGTCTTGTTTAGCCCTCCTCGTATGTCTGAGCAACAGAAACCCAGGGACTAGAAAGAAGGAACAAAACACAAGCAAAGCTCCTGGTGATCCATGTTTAAATGACTTTATTTTTCTTCCTTTTATAAATGGGCACAGCACAGAAATAATTAAAAAAAATAGACAGTACCATTACAGTGCTAGATCCATTGGCAAAGATTATTTTTATAGTCTTTTTTTTTTTTTTTTAATTTTAAAGTTTTGGCCATTGAGTAAGAACAAAAACAATTAACAAACATTTTTATTTATTTATTTATTTATTTATTGGTTTTAACAGACACTATGAAGCAATTTAAGTACTAAACTCTAGAAGAGTTATGTACATAGAAAAAAAAAATCTGTTTAAGATATGTTTCCTATTAAAAATATTTACATGCATTTTCCCCCTCCCATAGTTGTTGGATAGTAAAACAGCCTAGAATTTCATCTACGGTCAAAGATTTTTCATTCTCCTCGTGGGGCTTTCAGTCAGCTCCAAAAAAAAAAGGAGAGCAGGGGCGATTTGTTTCCCCCCCAATTATTGAAATCTTCTGGAAAGGGGTATTTTTGGATGTATACCAATGTGTTTTTGCTTTATACAAGTTTGCTTCATGTTTATTTACAGAGTAACCAATGGGTGGCATCTTATCCTGGAGACAGAGTGGTGAACATTAGTGTGACATAAGTACTTTGCTTCATAAGTGATTTTAAAAAGCAGTTTTTACCAAACAGCATGGATATATATATTTTTATTCTTCATATTTGTCTGGTTTGATTGTCAACTGTATATTTATGACTTAGACCCTAGGGACCCAAATGAGAGGTGGTTTATGCTCGTAAAGTCACTGGTACCCCTGAGGCCTTTGGAAATGCGTTGAGCAAGATCTGGGAGCTGGATCTTAGAAATTCTGGGCAGCACACCAAACTCTTTTGTGACGACTGGTTCTAAATCCAAAAGTAAGGGGATAAAAAAGGTTATATTCCAGACTGAAAATTTCTCTGTAGCTGCTAAGAAATGTCCACTGAGCTGGAGGCACAAGATGCTTGGGGTTAGAAGGGAGCAAGTAGGAGGCTTCTGAAATCACTATGTAGGTTTAGCCAACAGGTCCTTCTCTGCTTCTACTTTGGCCAAACTGCATGGAAGAAAGGGTGAGTTGGCAAATAGGATATCCTTAGAAATAGCTCCAAATAGCCCAACATGGCCTCTGGGCATCTTGGTAGCAGAAGGCTTTCCAGGACAGCATCTGTGTCAAATTTTCTGTCATTAAGTTCATACAAAACTTAATGAAATTCATCAGTCTTTCCTTCAACAGACTCTGGATCAGGCCCTTTTTGAGAAAGGGTCAAGAAAGGGAAAAGGGGCCAAAGCCTCAACTGATGTCAGTGGATCTCAAGAGCTGAGGGTCTGGTCCAAAGTCTCAGCAGAATTTCAAAATTTCAGATGTGCAAAGTCAGCTAGTAAATTCATTTCTTCCCTCTTAGTTTATGTACAAGACTTGAATTACATCTGTGTGTGTGTGTGCGTGTGCGAATACACAGTAAGCCATGTATATACATATATACATATATATTAATTATATACACATATATATACATACACATATATATATATACACGCACGCACACCCATAATCTCTGTCCAGCTACCTTTTCACTCCAAACACTGCAACTGATTTTGATTTGTTCAGTAGAGCAGAGCAGCTGGCCAGGTGCCTAACAAGACTGAGTTATTCTAATAAATGTTTCAATGCTGGAAACTCAGTGTCACTGTAGTAGCTGCCAAAAGCCTTTCAGTGCCTGCAAGCCTGGAGCCCACTGTGGACTATGAACATTTATAATAATAAAAGAAGAAAAAAAACAAACCCTCTTTTCATTTTAACTAGCAACTTTGTTCCATTTAAAGAGCCTGTTTGGGTTGGAGCATCGCATGTTGTGCTAGAGATCAGACAGCTCTGAATTATACATCATAAGTGCAAATGCTACAGGATTAAATGGAGCAAGGCAGGTAATAACTAACTACTGATGGGACCTTTGTCATTCCAACAGAGAAACTGAGTATGGAACTGCACATGTATAAGGAAACTCTGCATCTTGTACACAGCTACATAATGTGATCTGGATAAAATTCAGCTTTTATTTACTCCTGTTTAACCCTGGAGTAACTCCATTGACTTTGCGACAGAGACACAAGGATATCAACTGACATGCACCTAAACCACTGAGGCCTCATCTACAGCAAGAAATGTTGCAACCTGTTTTGCAGCCACGGTTCAGCTCTGCTGGCAACACCCGAAGCAGTCGTGTTGACAGGGTTCTGATGTTTATGACAGGCTTTCTTGACAGCTGAGCCTTGTTTCCATTAGCACTTCCACAGTCGCAGCTGCACGGCTGCTAGAAAATGGGTCCAAACTTGGCACCCGGAATGCTGCCAGTGCAATGGATGTGGGGAAAATTTTTGTCAATGTTTCAAAATTAAAGAGACTGCACCACATGAGTTATTAGATCAGACCATCAGGAGATGCGTGGCTGGGCTGGGATTGAGCACTCTATTCATAATACTTTGTGTACAGCATATTTCACACCCATAGATCTCAAAGTGCTTTGCAAAGGGAAGTCAGAATTGCTATCCCATCTACAGGCAGGGAACCAGAAGTAGAGAGAGAAGCGACTTGGAGATAGTCAAACAACAAGGTCAGCAACAGAGACAGGAAATGAAACAAATGCCCTTCCAATGCGTGACACTCTGAGGTGTGTAATTCAATTTAGGCACCTAAGTGCAGTTCTAGTCCATCCTGCTCATGTCCTAAAAAATCCATGAATGCTTCTACTTTGTACCACTGTCATCTGACCCTTAAGACTGTCCTCTCATTGCTTTTCTGCGACTCAAAGACCCACCCTACTATTTGCAGTAACTTTTTTTTCAGGACTCAAGGAGGGTAGGATAGAATCGCATCTAGGTGCCTGCAATCATCTACACACCTAAGAGGTGGCATGAAATGTGACCTGTGTCTTCACTGACACAAGTGTAAAGTGAGTGCAAAATACTCCAGTTCAGAATGGTACTAGTGCACCCAATGACTTAAAGTGCAGGGCACTGGAGAATCGGGCCCCAGGACTCCTGACTCCCATCCCAGCACCTTTACCTTAGGCCCACGGAGGTGAGTGTTATAATACATTCCACGTTCTAACAAGGGACATTTTAAAAACTTAATTTACTTTTCTCCTCATCTGTCACCTGTTTTCTTATTATGCCACCCCAGACTAGACTGGTTAAATTCATTTCCTGGTCCTTCTCTGCTTGCTTGGTGTCTATGAGTCATTGCTGGAGAATTTACTGAAAAATAACGGATTTTCTTAAAAAATAAACAGTCTGATTCCTATCACGCTTTGTAAATTAATTTTTAATCAACTCTAATTTGGAGCCTACACCATTACCCACATCTCTTTGGATGCGTCTATATGTTTATTAATGCGCTGTAATTATGGTGCATTAAGTTTAGAACCTGTAATGATAGGTATTAACTTAATGCACTATAATCAGCACTACTGCACATTAGCACAGATGAACATTTTTTGTGGCACTACTGCATATTAGACTAAATCTACTGTGCATTAGCACGGGCTTTGCCCCCCATGCTAATGTGCAGTAGAATTAGTCTTCTGCGCATTAAACATCTCATGTAGACATTCCCTTTGACGCCAGAATTTCTAATATACAGAAGCAAAGCCTGAGTAGAAAAGAGAGCCCTTCCAAGAACCCAACTTGCTGGGATTCTGGCACGTGGTTTCATTTTCCCAGGGCTCAAATCATTTCTAAACAGCACATCCAAGGCTCCTAGCAACACTTGTAGAAGTCTCCACTTTGACTTTGGATATCATGGTCATGCGCTCCTGATGCAGAAATAAAGCTTTTATGCAAGTGTTGCCTCTTGTACATGCAGTGATGTTGTAGAGCTAAATTATGGTTCTCAGAAGCCAGAGTCATACTGAGAAGGGGCAGTGAGGGGAAGAGAGGAGAGAGGGTTTGAATAAAACTAGGATGGGCATCATGTAGGTATCTAGTTAAATAGATATAGTAATGGAAAAGCCAGAATTTACTGAAACACAAAAATAAAGGGTGGGATGTAGAGACACTGGGTCAAATTTTCCTCTAGGTAAACAATTGGCACTACTGTTTCAGCTCCACTGAAGATGACAACATTGTAAAATGTCACTGTCTGATGACCTGGCTCATTTGCTCTTTAAGGCAGAGTGCATCTCTACAATGACTGCTTGCTCAGTGGCACAACTTACTATGCCTGCATGAAAGCCACACAATTCTTCCTCCACCCCCTTACCCTCCCCCCATATCAGCATCCAGCAGCTTCCAAGCTAGCCCACCAAAATGTATGTGCTCCCTTGCAGGTCTGTGAAAAAGAGTGGGAAGAGGGCATAAGTCAGTCTTGGCCTGGAGACCTTCTGTCTCCCTTCTTGCAGGTCTAGCATCCCGACAGCGAGGCAACTATAAGGTGCACTTCACAGTTGGGAGACTGACACCTAAAGAGGAACATGGAAATACACAGGAATTGATTGTGGCAGAAAGACATCCCGTAGTGGTGCCAAAGCCAACACTCCCCACTGCTTTCCAGACCTGTCCCAAAGGCTTTCCCCGTGGTTCCTCCAGACTCAACAATATGCAGAGACCCAGGCCTCCAAATGGACTTAGAGCACTTGAGGTGAGCTCTCTAGCAGGACTGCCTCCGCCATGAGGAAAGCAGAGCAGCCGACAGCTGGTGTTGCCTAGGTTCAGAGCACTCAGTCTGGATCCTTACCCCAGGCTGGAAGGGAGCATTGAACTAATGCTCCAAGTACAGCAGACCCTAAGTCCCCATGTATATCCAGCTCTAATACTAAAATCTCCCGTATTCAGTTATGTTTGGATGCTAAGCTGAGGATTGGTCAAGTCTAGAGACAGAGGTCATTTGCAACTCTCATCTGGATTTTGAATATTTCTGGAATGAAGTTGGTCTCACTGCTGCACCAACCCTGCTGCCTGTGGGCAAGGAAGCTTCTGGCCTCTTACCACCAAGAAAGCCTCTTCCAAAGCCAGACAGCAAAAAGGGACAGAACTCAGAAGAGTGGCTTTGGGTCAGAACATAATGACGGAAAAAGGTGATGCTCCTACTTCACAGATGTTGTTCTCTGTGTCAGACTCCCTTGAATTAAGTGATACAAAAGCTACCCAAAAAAGGATCACTGAAAAGGCACCATTACTGCTGCCAAGACACATTTTACAGCTCTACAGAAGTGTTACAGTCTAATTGGTCAGTGCAAAGTCAAAAGCTAGGCCAAATACCTGCACCAGTCGCCATGCATCAAAGGCCACCAAAACCCATGGGCGCTAGAGGAACGAAGCTCCACAGGTGGGAACAGATAAGAAAGGGTCAACAATTTTTCATTTTGAACAAGGGGCCAGTGCAGAGTAAGCAGCAATGAGTTGGATTCAGAGCATCCTGGGTGCAGTTCCACAATGGCGAAGACTTTCAAGGCAGGCTTCGTGGTAGACTTTGTATAACTGGTGGTGTCGTGACAGTCAGCAAGGACAAAACCAGAACTTCAGGTCACAAGCTGTGCTTGCAGGACCCGCTGCCAAACCAATTACCTGGAAGCTAGGATGGATCTGGAATCACCAACCACAGTGGAGGCTTCCCGGGTCATTGCTGTGATTCTGTTCTTGCCTATGAGCCCATGGGAGCTGCGGGTGCTCAGCACCTCACACTCAATCAGATGTGAAGAGGGCAGGGAATGGAAGCAGAGAGGATACCTAAAGGTGCCATCTAGCCATGTTGCTGCCCTCCTGTGCCCCTAACAAATGGGTAGATTTTCCTAATGAACTTCCTGCTTCATTACCAGATCCATGTCTGGACAAAGACATCTACTTTCTACCATCCTTGTAGCTCTCTCTGATCAAAGTTATACCACCCATCCCATTCAAAGGTCCAGAACCCAGTTTGTGTACTGAGCACAGGAGTTTGAAACGTGCCTGCAAGATTTCATTGTCCAGCTCCCACTGACTGTCAATAAGATTTGAGTCTCCAAGCCCCTTTCAAAACCTCACCTGCAATTCTAAACTCACTGAACTCAGTGGGAGTCTTTCTGGGCTTTGGATCAAATCTGGGAAGTATTCAATTACTGGCAACTCTGGGATCATTTGCTTCTACCAGTTAGGACAGAAGAATAGTCCAGTCCTTCAGCTCAAGGAAAAAAGAGATGGGGCACAAGACAAGGCATCATACACATCTTTTATCCAGCTGTTGATCTCTGTTGCTGTCCTGCATAGCTGCAGCTGATGGCAGGGCCTCCCTGTGAGTCATCTTTGTATTTTTAGTAATGAAAAGAAAGACATGCAACAAACCAAACTAAAATCTCCTTGAGATCACATCTATTTCCCAGTCCAAGTGAGACCAAGAAAGAGACTGGGAGTAACAGATACTGTACAATAAATTAAGCCATTGGTCAGCTCTAATTAGCTTCTTTTTTTCCTTCTAATTTTGTACTTCAAATTCTCTTAAGAGAGAAAGAAAGAACCCTTCCTCAGCCCGCTGTAAGGCTCAAATTTCAGATCATTGCTCACTTCCAAAGCTGTAAAAGATTTAAGTACCAGGATTACAATCTAACACCAGCTGAGAGGTCTAAGGTTAAGCTGGAATGAATAATAACAATAAAAAACTGTATTATAGAACTTCAGACTATTAAGGGGGGGAATAACACGGAGAAGATTAAGGAGGAAGCTAAGAAAAGCAAACTTTAAAAGATTGAGTAGAAGGTTTTAATATACACTTGAAACATTAGGGCCAGGTCCTTCAAAAGGGACAACAGAGACACTCAAGAATAGAAGTCTTGTTTTGAAACCCTCGAGCTTACGCCACTTCAGAGACCCTGACCCTCCATCCTATCTGTAGAACCAGATTTGCTCCAAGCTTCCTGGAAGCATCGGTCTTCCTGCTAATGAACCCCGCACACGGTTGTGCCTGGTGCTGCTCCAGTCTGGAGGAGGCCAGGGAAACTGGGAATTTGATAGGAAGAAAACACTTCCTGTGAGTTTCTCAGGCCCGAAGAGGTCAGGTAGTTCAGTGAAGCACTGACATTTTGGATGCACCTATCCAAACTGTGTGTACCTACCCGGTGATTATTCTGAGATTCACTCACTAGATGTATAGTTGAATGAACTGGTTTTGCATCCATGCACCATTTCCTGCTATTGAATGGAATCAGCCCTGCTTAGCTCACAAACACTTGTTTAGGATGGTTTAGACAGAGATGATCCTGCCTTAAGCAGGGGCTCCTGACTCTATGAACTGTAGGGTCATAGTCCATACACTGTAGACATGCAACAGGAGATTTTCCTTTGCTCGAGTGGTAAGGGCCTGTGCTACAAAACAGAAGAATTTCAGTCTTATCATCACAAAGCCCCATGTGAATATGGTGCACAGCATAATGAAAGGGCCTAGAAGCCCAGGGCTTTATTGTTAGATGTAGCTAAATAGCTCTGTATTTCTGAATGGCCTTGCCTTTCTTTTATCTGGTCTTGCTATGTAATCAGCCCACCCAGAAGCTTCTGGGCCTCCAAATTTATAACTGCAAAGAGGCTATTTTCCTTAAAGAAAACCAGCCCATAGCTTGCAGTCCTTGCTGCCAGGTGCTAGAGCAGAGTTGCAAATGCTGTGAATCATAGAAACAAGACAAAAACCTTCTCTCCATCATAGTGGAGACGGACATAAAGAAGCCAACCTGGGAAGTGGGTGCCCACGAATATGGGAAGCTCATGGAACTGGGACTTGTTGAGAAAGCCCAAAATTGTGGCCTCTTCTCACTCAGGAGCTGAGAAATTCTTAGCACCGACATAAAGGGACCTCTCTGCGCTGTGAGCAGAACCCCTCTTGCTGCGGCTGGGAGAGATGTAAGGACAAAGTGAGCATTTGAATAGAAAGTCATTAGCTTTCAGGGTGCAGAGGGGAGTCGGAATGCTTTTCTCACTCCATCACCTATGTTATAGGATGTATTCCCCTGATCTGACCTCTGTGCCTGCGGTGGGACAGCAGGCCAAATACTGCTACCAGTTAAACTGACATCTACCATGACTAACTCTGCTGGCAGCAGTGGAGTTAGGCTGGGCTAAGATCAGAGCCGGACCCAGAGCCTCCTTCACGGGTTCTAGTCGCACCATCTGCCAGGAGACAAGGCTCACTCTGTGCACATGCTTTGGCTGAGATTCCCCTCTCCCATCTACACAGCTGATGTGACTTTCCTGCCTGTGCCAGCACCTCTGCCAGCTCCCAGAGCAGAATTTTTACAGTGCTTCCTACCAAACAAGCCCAGAACACACCCTGGTGGGGTAAGCCCCCGTTCCCAGTTACATGCAAACCTGCCATTCCAGAAGAAAACTCTGGTACGTATGGTCCTAGACTGGGTGCCTACAAAATGAAACGCAGGTCTTCTGGATACAACATGAGCCTTGACTGCCTGAGCTAAAGGGCTTAGCCTATTAGCTTGCAGATGCATAAAGCCCTGCCTCTGGCATAGCCCTGGACAATGCCTGTCACACCACGCTAGTGTCTGTTACGCGAGGATGCGATGCAGTAAAAGTGACAGCTCTTTTTTGCTTGCTTGTTTTAATAAATATAACAGGGAAGTCAGGGCCTTGATGGGATGGATGTCTCAGGATCACAACTGCCATTACAAGGAAAACAGCAATCTCCTTGACTGCCTTGTAAACAGCCCTTTAGATTATTAAAACCAACCAATTAAAACATTTAATTGACTTTTCCACGCTCTGGGCCTCATCCAAAGCCGTGAGTTTTCTATGGGCTTCACTAGACTCTGGACTAGGCCCTAATGCACTTGTTTGCTTTCCACATGAGAGCCCCCCAGATGATAAAAATACAGTAGTCAGGTTCACAGTTGCTGCTAGTCTCTTATTCTTTTGGTTTCCCATGCACTGGAGACCTGATCCAAAGCCACTGGAAATCAGTGGGTTTAGATCCCATCTTATCACTGTAAGGTTTACACTGAAATTTAAAAATATATAAATCATAGGAACATATCAATCCTGGATTTTACAAAAGATATAGCGTAGAACTGACCTGGCCTGATGGTGACCCTGGAAAAGTTAATTTTGTCTGTTTTTTTTTTCTTTTTCTTAATCTCCTGGCGTGCCTATTATTTGTCAGAAATTATGGTCAGGCCCCAAAATCTGAGGAGAAAAGATACTGCCTCCTTGATTTTAAATTCTTTATTTCTGCTGCATATCGTGGTGTGTTGAGATTGTCAAATATTATCCCGTTGAAAGGAATGCAGAAGAGGATTGAGCCTTTTTTTCCCCTTCAGCTGTCATCAATTTCCACCAAACAATATCCTATTTCATGTAAAAATCAGTATTGTTTGTTTGCAAACAGTCGGGAATACCATGCTAGCTGAGTTTTATTCATCACAGTGAAAACCCAGCAGAAACAAGCTCGCTTTTCAGCCAAAGCCCCTTGCCAGCCCATGAAGCATGGTTTCTAGACTTAAGGGCTCTGGCTGTGCACAGCAATGCAATGAAGTGAGGCGGTGACAGGAAGGGAGCAGCACACATCAGCAAAATTGTGGCTCCCTGCAGCTATGTGAACTCTCAGCAGAGGTGATCTAAAAGCTCGTCTCCAGCGCACTGGTCATTTTTCACTCCCAGAGCAATCCTGGAGCATAAGATATTTCATCTCATTGTGCTTTTTTGAGGCTTGAAATATATTTTGACAGTCACGTCCTCTTTCTGAACAGAACCACGGAGCAGCGAATCCTGGTAAGAAACCAAGCCCCCCACATCATAGAAAGAAACCCTTCCCACCCCCAGCAGGAAAAAACCCCCAAACACCCCAGTTCTGGTAATGGGTGTCCAGATCTTCGAGTCAGTTCTGTTGTTTGGTAAGCCCAGTGAACTCCAGCCACCAGCAGCAAAATGCCCACCCAAGCACGTGCTCCTCACCCCCGGGACTCCCCTCCACCCCCTTTTTTTCTGTTTC